AGTAACATATGTCAATAGATATACTTTATAAAAATTTGATAAATGCCTTTGAATTAATAATACATATACATATATATATATAAATATAATTTTTGTCATAACGAACGGTCTGAAAGCACTTACTTCCAATCCAGAACAACCTGATTGTTTGTAACTATTTCTTGGAAATTTTGTGCGAGAGAACTTTTTGCCGTAGAAGAAGTATCAATTATCATATTATCTTCCATTTCTATGTTGTTTAAAAAAACAAACCTGTAAAGTTGCAATATTTATTTCCTAGTTTTCCTGTTGTCCTACATAAAAACGTGATCTCTAAAATTATCAAAAGCTTTTGATGCAATATTGAAAAATTAAGAAAGTTAGTATTGTTACTTTACTGCTGGGACACAAACGAACGGTTCTACGTTTGTATGAGCCTACAGCCTTGTGGTTGTATACATCCGGCAGGACCTGCTGGTCTTCCTGTGCACACGATACAACGCTTCAGTAATTCGGCTTTTGAAGTAATAATTCTAAACACTGACAACAACACCATTTTCTTATTCTTTGGAGGTATTTGCTTTGTCTCAAATTCAAAAAATATTATTCGAGTGCGTATGTATTAGTAAGCTGTAAATGCAGTCAACACTCTCTAAGCAACATGCATTTAGAGAGGACGTGCATCTATGAGGGTTGGCTGTATATGTATGTGCATATATATGTAGGTAAACATTCTACCAACATCGTTCCATATGTGTAAAAAAGTTAAATTTAATTAATGAAAATGGAAATTATATATTACAGTGTATTTAAAGTATTATTGTTATTATTATTATTATTATTATTACTTTTTGACATGATTAAAAAAATAAATAAATAAATAAAATGAATAAACGATTTATTCAAGATCCAAGACTTTATGTCTTTCTTCCAAAAATCTGAATAAACTACCTGGTTTCTTTTCCCATTGATTATGCCAATGATATGCAAATGTTTGTAATAATCTATCTTTGTTAAACCCATCATTCTCTTCAAAAGCACTTGGCATGCTATTACTAGGACGACAAACGTGCGAATCGGTGAAACACCACGGAATGATTTTAAATGGTTGTTTACCATTTTGAATCAATCTCCTATAAATTTTTAAATACAAATAAGATCCCCAATTAAATCGAGGTTGGGTGTGTTGGTTGAAGTAGTTGTAGTATTTACAGCCGTTGAAGTGGTTGCATTAGTTGTGTTATTGTTATTGGTAGTGTTGGATGTATTTGTGGTGGTGGTATTGGGTTGATTATTTTTTGCAATTGATGATAATGGTCGTAAGACAAATGAAAGTAGAGTCATTAATTGTTCCATTAAAGATGTATTTCTTATGAATACTTGTCTATCTAAAAGGCTAAGTAATATTACTACAGGATATTTGCTTGTGACAGATTTTTGTTTTTCTTTTCCCTTACGACTATTCGTTCTTTTAAGCCCGATATTGTTTTCATGTTCCATTAAGAAATACGTGACAGATGCTTCGTTATAACTAACAATAAAAGTCAAAGCTTCTAAACAACGTTGAGCTATTAAATTGGGAACATTTTCTCCTGCTGCTTGAGTTATCTGAGAAAGTGAAGGATTAGGTACCCCTGAATGTCTCCTAGTTAAACCTTTCGTTGATGTTGATCCTTTGTTTTTTATAGACATTTGAGCAAAACTTTTATCAACAGATGCTACATCGCCGCTTCCGTCAAATAGAACAGATAGTAACATTGATACCAATTCGCCACGTGAGTTGCTATTTTCGCAAAGATTAAGCAATAATTTATGTAGTAAATTTTTATTATTTAATGGTTGTGGCAAGAATAATAATCTGACTAATGTAGATAATCCTTGAGTGTCAACAAGTTTAACTGCATCACGTTGAACTGCAGGTTTTTTAGGTGTTGGTATTTGTGGAACAGAACTAGTAAGTGTTCTTGATCTAACTGCATTTGTGTATCTACGACTTGCTCTTTCACGTAATGCATTGGCTTCTGCAGCAATCGCTGGAGGCAATGATGCTAAAACCATGTCATCTTGCTCAAGTAAAACTGTTTGCCTCAGGTGAGGATCTAAAGATGCAAAGAAACTTGCAGTATCCATTTCAACTGCAGCAG